GGTTTCTCTCATATTTAATAAAGTTTTCCTTTATTAATCCTAACATTATAATGTCCCCACACATTAAATGTTACAGTTCAAAAGCTCAGAGAAATAAAAAAAAAAAAGTCTTTAGTATTTATATCATCTCTCTGGCTTTTCATTTCTTTTTTTTTAAGCATGCCTCCTTTTTTTTTATTTTTGGAGGAAATTTTGCCTATCTCAGTTTGACCCTAAATTTTTGGTTACACTGGACTTTCCTGTAAAATAATTGGTCAAGGTTACAGATTGATTAATTATATCAGTTATAAAAAAAGTAAACAAAACACATCCTCTCATGTGTTCCAAATCATATAATACCAATTTGATAATATAACTGGTTCTGGAAAAAGTTGAATGGTTTTTTAGTTAAAGGAGTAGTAAGGGAGTTCCGAGTAAAGTTTGAAGTTGTGAGTAGAGGAGAAACAATACTTTTTTTGTTTTTCCCTTTTATTTGTCTCTTTCTTTTCCTATTTTACCTAGAGGACTGGAAGTAAACACAAGATTCAAATCCTATTTCAATCTGACAACAAGTTAAAACAACAATGTCTATTCTAAAAATAATTGAAAAAAAGAATTTTGAAATTATTCACTAGTTAAGTGAAGCAATAATTTCAGAAAGATATGACTTGGAAAAGAAATCAATAATAAAAACCAATATCCTTTTTGATCAGAAGTCTTTAAGTGTAAATTTTAAGAAATACTCTCTAGAAAATGTCCTTAAATATTCTTGGATATTGCTTGCTTCAATAGAAATTAAATAGTCTGACTAATCACAGGTGGTAACAAGTGAATATTCATGAGGGGTCTGGATTTTGTTCACTAAAATATTATTTTCATAATAGATAGAATAGATAATAGCTTTTATTCTTTTTTACATCATTTTATTTATATATATTTGTATTGTTTTTTTTATTTTTATTTCTTTTTTTATCTCTTGCTCCTTGCATAGTTTCTGCAAAAGAAGACAACACAATTTAAGTTTATAGTCATAACTGTAGAAGTGATTTGCAAGTTATAATCCTTATAACATAACTGGATCTTAATCCTAATTATCAGGCTAGTAACGTATCACTTCCATAAATCACATCTAGAGGCTTAGGCTTAAGACAAATGAACTGGATCAAGAAAATTTGTACTTTGCATATATTCTTGTGCATGTAATGGTTATTTATAATTTAATAAATATATGACACCAGTCTGATTGTGGGTTAAAAAAAAAAAAGTATATGTATTACTATACTTTCTATTTCAAAAATTAAATAAATATAATAAATATTTGGCTAATTATTAATTATATTAAAAAAAAAAAGAATAACTTAATTAATATTTAAATTAATTAAAAACAATAAAACTTTTTTATTATAAAAAAAAACAATTTAAGTATTATCTGATATTTAAAAAAAAATTTTTTTGAATATCGAATTCTACATTGTTTTTCAATAGCATTGATAAAAAAAATACGTATTTGTTACATTAAATATCTAATATTAAATTTTTAATATTAATATAATACCTTTATATTGTTGTTTAATATTTCTAATCCCGTAATTATATTTGTGAAATAATTAAATAAAAATAAATAAATAATTAATAATAAAAATATTTAAGGATTTTTTTATATTAAAAATATTATATAATCATTTAAACGTATTCTTTTATTATAGATGGTATAATAAGAAGAATGTGACAATTACTGCCGTTTTAAAAACATGTATCGGTATATAAAATTTTAAATGTCACAAACGTTATATTAATATAAAAAAACAATACACAAACACGTGGATACTATGATGTATTGTTTATATTACAATCGGTATCATACCACTAACTTTACTTCTTGTTCTTCGTATTATGGAAGGGTAAATTTTGTCGACTTTTTTAGATTTTTTTTACGAAAGTTTCTCTAAGAATTTTATCTGTACTTTTCAGAACTTATAAAATTTTGGTAGCAGCCGAAGAATCAAATATTTCATTTAACGCAATTCAATATGCGTTTGATCTATGTTCTAGGCTAAGTGCTTCATATACTTTATCGATTATTTATGTCGTTGCTTTAAATCCAGAAACTAACGTGCCATTTATGTAAGTTAATTCTTATTAATAATAATTGGTTTTTTGTCAAGGTAGTTGAAGTTTTTTTTTAAACATTGAACTTTTTTAGACATAGTCTAGATAGAGCTAGTAATCTCAATATTCTCCTAGAAGCAAAAGAAACAGTTGCTAAAATAAAAGAACATTTAAAGAAATTTGAATCCATCCATGTAAGTCGTTTAATTGCAAATTTGTTAATCAAAATACTTTTATTGTCTTTATTATTTAATGATTTAATATGCGATATAAATAGCCAAATGTAAAGTATCAATTTATTGAACACGAGGATCATGGCTTGGTTGGAGAAATTTTGAAAGGTTACATTGAAAAAAAGCAACCTGATTTGAACTTGTTAATAGTTGGATCAAGAAATCTAGATGGTTTACAAAAGGTCTGTGCATTATTCCCTAGAGCTTCTTCAGTGCTTTCCGTATGTTTTTATTTTATATTATTTGATTATCTGACTTTTGATGTTCGAGTTATTGAATCTATTTTCATTTTTTTATTTACCTTTCATACTCACCTTGAATGATATTAGCTTGTATTGAGCTCTACAAGTGATTATTTGGTCAAAAATATTCGATGTCCGGTTACAATCGTTAAACCTTGAATATTCTATTGCCTTGTCACGTGATTTCACACCGACTAAAGATTATCTCGACAAACCGGATTTTTTCTATAACATATATTATTTCCTCATGTATAGTTATTATGTATTTGTTTTTCAATTTTTCAAATTCAAAACTAAATTAGTAATATCAACATGAATAAATGAAAGTAGTTGTATTTATTACCTTTTAAAGTTCTTAAACTCATGATAAAATTTTTTTTGAATTTTTGATAGGAAAAACTTGGACTTAATTTAAAAAATAAAAATTTTTTTTGAATCCTTGATAGGAGCAACTCGAACTTTAATTTAAAAAACTTATGTTTTGGCTTTGCCTTTTACTTTTTGATTACTTTTTAATTAAAAATTATTCAATTCTTTCAATAACCAATTATATAATTAGCTTTGTATTATACAAATTTAAATATATATAAGAATATGTTTTGTTTATTTTTTTTTGTATTTTATTCAATTAATCAATTATTAATTTTAATTAATTATTTTTTAAGAAATCTGATATAATCAAAAATTTAGAAATAAACAAATTTTTAAAGAATTAAAAAAAAAATATATACTTGGAAAAAAAATTAAAAATTAAAGAAATTAAAACTTTTTTTTTTAAAAAAAAATTTTAAATCTTTTAAAAGTTTTAAAAAAATATTTTTTTTTTGTTAATTTTTTTTTTAATAAATATCTTTGCTATAATTTTTTAATATATTTTTTATATTAATTATAAAAATAAATAAAAAAAAAAAAATCCAATAAAAACAAATCAATAGATCAATAGTACAGTAAGTAGTATTTTCTGGTCTTCAAATATATATTATTAATTTAATACTTATAGAGAAACAAAATATATAAAATTATTCTTTATTTGTAAATTTATTGATTTTTTTATAAATATTATATTCAAATATCTGAATTTTGATTATATTTAATTAGGTTATATAAAAATATGATCTCTGATCTTTTTAATAATTGCAGGTTAAAAACAGGTTAAAGCAAAAAAGATTACACAAAAAAAAGCTTTTGGTCTAACTTCAATAAAAGCCCATAATTCTTTCTAATATGACAAACTTCATAGTACAAAGAATACTCTAGTCTAGAACTATTTTAATTTAGCATTTGCTTAAAAGAAAATGATTTCTATAAGAAAAATTCAAAGTTATAAGTAATAATAATAAATATAATATTTTTTTTAAATTTTTAAATAAAAAGTATTAAATAATTTATTCAAATATTCTAATTAATCCTGAAAGATATATACTTCAAATAATAACTATTAGTTAGATTAGATAATTTAAAACTAGTAATAAAATTTCCATTTTCTAAAGATTCTATCTAATATATTAATTTATTCCAGTAATAATAAATTGATATAATTAAATAAGACTATAGATAAAAGAATGATTTAACTTAAATAAATCTTGTATTTATATAATTAGATATAAATAACTCAATAAAAATATATATAGTATTAGTATTTTTTATTTGAAAAAAAAAATAAATAAAAATATTATAACTAGTGGATCAATAGTATAGTAGATATTGCTTCCTGATCTCCAAATATATGTCCTTAGTTTAATATTCACAGAAGACAAAACATATAAAAAATTACCTTCATTTATGAGTTTATTGAATTGCTACAAATGTTATATTCAGATATCCATATCATGACCAAATCCAGTTAGGCTGCATGAAAATGGGACCTCTGGTTTTTCTGACAATTATGAATTAAAAACAAGTCAAAGCAAAAAGATTGTATAAGGAAAAGCTTCTAGTCTAACTTCAATAAAAGCTTAAAAAATCATCTCTCCTGGTATGACAAACTCTGTAGCACAAAGAATACTCTAACCTAGGGCTATTCCAATTTAGCACTTGTTTAAAAGAAGAAGACTCCTTAAGGAAATCTGAAGCCATATGTAATGACAAGAAGTATAAATACCTTTTTTGAAAAACTAGGTGAAAAGTATTTAGGTTATCTGGATGTTCTAATTAACTCTATAAGGTATAGAATCTTTAACAGTAAGCAGCCATAAGATTGCTGAATTAAAACTTAGCAAGAAGGTGAATTTAAACTAATAGCAAAACTTTTCACTTTTTAAATTTGTTCCACCTAGCATATGGACCTCACTTCTATAATGATAAATTCATATAACTGGGTTAAAAACAGGTAGGAGGAACAGGTTAACTTAAATAAACTTTTGATGTAATATAATTGGATATAAATAACTCAATAAAAACCTATATATTTAATATTTTTTATCTTAAAAAAAAAAACAAATAAAAATATTATATAATTTATTAATAAGAAATATAATATTATTGTTATTTTTTTTTTAAAGTTTAAAATAGTATATGTTTATTATTCTTTTTATTGTTAATAATTTGAAGAAATATAGATTTATAATAAAATAATATATATCTTTTATAATATTTTAATAAATATAATGCAATTAATCTAAAAATTAACTCTTTCCGCTAATCCTTTTGCCAACCCAAAAAACAGACGTTCTCAAAGATATTTCTTATTTTTGATAATAAAGTCTATACACTTTCTTTAAAAACATTAACTTCTGAAGGCAAGTGCCTCCCCCCACTTGTTTACACTTCCTTCTTCGAAAAACTTTGGATATTTCAGCGACAAAATAAACAAAACTTTACCCATTTG